AGGTTAAATTACCCAAATACCCTCCCCACCGTTTTTGTATATATCCTATTCTTTTCCGATAAGAAGATAATATCCAACTTTCCTTTTTCTTCTTTTGAAACTTTAAAAAGTACGAAACGTATTCTCAGATTTTATTGCCGAAAACGTAGTCTTCATTTTCATTCTTTTTCTTTCTTTTCCTTTTTTTTTTATAAAGATAACATAGTATTCTCTCCATTTAATATTTATGAAGGTATCATTTATCCGACATAATTTCGGGTTTTTTTTAGGCACTTACCTTCTTTCTTTTTTTTATTCTAAATTCGAACTCCTGAAAAGTCGATAATATATTTTTTAATTAATTAATAACACTTACGTTAATATCATAAAAATAAATATGTATTTTTTTAATATATGGTAGATTTTAAAATTTTATAAAAACAGTATAATCTAAATCAAAAGATAAAATCTACCCATAAAAGTGAAATTTATGGTGTATATTAAAAAAATCAAATGTTGTGATATTTTTTTAAATACAAATTTTTTAAAGATTTTTTTAAATACATATTGTTTGGCTTTTTAATTGACCACTTATAAATTATAATGTGTAATAGCTTATCTATATAGTAGTCACTTAGTTGGAATATTATAATACAATTATTAAAGAAAAAATAATATTTTTAATTAAAAATAAAATTTACCAACTCTCTCGTTTATCCAGTAACCTATTCCTCTAGTAATTTTTTATTGTATTGTGTCAAACCTTCATTTATGAATTGTTTAATACCATTCATCACTTATTAATTTAATATTATATCCCGTCCATATTTAATTAACAATATTTATAATAGATAATTACTAATATTAAAATTGAAGTCTATATATTAACATGAATTCAATAGTAATTGACATCCATTTTGAAAAAATATTAGAATTGATGGAGACACGTCTAAAAATGTTTGATTTCGACCAAATGTATCACTTTAAAAAAAGAAAAAAAAAAWATATATATATATATAAAAGTGAAAACGAGTATAATTTTGTAGTAATTAGCATGTAGTTTCAACCCAGAGGTTATAAGTTCAAATCCCCTCGTCATGTTGTATTAAATAAATAATATATATATTATGATATGGACTCAATTTCAAATAAATTTTCGAATTTCCACGTTGGAAATTGTGTCTAGGAAGGCTGAAAAGTAAATGGGACACTTTGGGTATTTGGATAAAAGTAAGTGGGCGGCGAGTCTTGATAATTCTTTTTTCTTTTTTTTTTTTGGAGTGCATTGTAGGCCAATAGGAGGAGCCGTGTAGGTGTTAAATAAAAAACATTATCTTCCAATAGTGTATTTCCACACCCTTTTTAAATATTTGAAATTTCAAGAACCATATAATACGATAATAAGTGATATTTAGGTCAAATCTTGATAAGCTCGAGTTAGGCCACCACTTTAATAGCTGCTTTACTGTTTACTCCCCCTAACAACAATATCAATTAATATATCAACCTTATTCAACAACATTCATACATGTAAATAATAAAATCAATGTTAAAATAATACTTTGTTTGTTATATTTTTAATTTTTGTTAGTATTGATTTCTATACTTTTAAAATGTTCATTTTGATTTAGTTTCATGTACTTTCAAATAATTCATTTTGATCCTCATCTTTTTGTAAAACGATCATTTTGGTTCATTTATTTTATTTTTAATCTCATTTTTATTTATCACAATTTCAAAAGAACACCACACTCAATATATTTATTGAAATGTAATCGTGTCGTAAATGAACATTTTGAAAAAATAGGGATTAAAATGAATAAAGTTGAAAGTATAATAACCAAAATAAATTGAAATTAAAAGTACAAGACCAAAATAATACTTTAACTTAAAATAAAATTTGTAGTTTTTTTATGGTAACTAATAAACATACCTCAACTAGACAATTCATATAACATCGACAAAAGAAATTCAAATATTTGAATCCTTACTTCAAAATATAATATACAGCATAGTGATCTGAAATCATTTCAATTTTAAGGAAAGAAGTAGATATTATTTACGACTCCAATTGAAAAAAGGAAAAGGTTTTCAAAATATTATAAGCATATTTAGATAGCTAATTGATTTCCTACTTTGTATTTGTTTTTAATAAAGTAGTTATTTTTATGATTGTCTTTGCTTAAAAGAAAATCATAGCGTAATATAAAAAATGATAACAACGAATGATACGGGCCGCGGGGGCAGTACCAGATTTCGTCCATGTCAGCCACATCCTAATGCCACGCCATAACCGACCTTTCATAACTTCAAACACCAAATAGCCATTTCCATATTATTAAAATAAAAATGACCATTCAGAAACTATAATTAATTTTTTACTTTCTTGAAAAAAAAAATCTCCCCAATCGCCAACCAAAGCCCATCAAATGACGGCGATCTTTTGGATATGCAAGTAAAGCAGGTATTAATTGATTATTAAAATTATAAACAATCCTTTATATATATATATATTTTTTCTTTTTCATTGATTTTTAATTAATTAATTAACGAGATTAGAATAATATTTTGTTGACTACGAGTTTCCACGTAGCCAGCCACGGTGCAAGCTTATCAGTTATCACAAGCTTAGGCTTAGTCATCTTTTAGTTGACGGCGATGGCAAATTGACGGTATTAATGAAATCAAGATTTGATACTTAATGCTCCTCCCTTAATAATGGTATTAATGCTATGGATAATACCTAACCCTTCCTTAAACAAATTTTAGAAATTATTTTAAACATTTTACCTTTTTTTTTTTAACAGGAATGTAATTCTTTTTTTTTTCCAAATATCTATGTAATCTGACAACATTTAATCTGGACAGGAATCACTATATTTGACGTGACAACAAATAATATAATATAATATGATTGATTTGAAGCTTATTAAGATCTAGTGGAGATGGAGGAAAAAGGCAAGGGTAAGTGGGTAAAACAACAGGGGGGTAAAAATGGTAAGTGGGGATTTATGAGTTGGCTATTTATAAAGACAACTGGAAAACGCAGGCGGGGCAGATGAATCTGATCGGGGAAACCACAAACCAAACCGGTGCATCTCACCTACTCTACTGCCCTACTGCCGCTAAATAAATTATTCATCATTTTTATATAATACCTATTTTTATAAATTATTTCGAAATAATTCGTCTATGCTGATTGCTATTTATATACATTAGTGAGTACATTTTATTACTTTTACTTTTAAAGATATTTTATAAAATACAAATCTCTCTTCCAGTTCTTCTAAATTTCTCTCTCTTTTTAAATATCGTCTCTCAAATTCTTGGTCCTCTAGTTTTCTATTTCTTTTTAAATACTATTTATCCCACTTTTACAAATTTAATATAAACGATAATTAAGAGATATATGAAGTTTTTTTAGAGAGAAAAAAGTTATTTTAGAAAAGTAGAATTTATAAAGATGGAGAAAAAAATAATTTGGAAAATATAATGAGAAGAAAAGGAGAGAAAAATTAAAAGGGAAGACAATAATTAAGGAAATCATTGAAATTAAAGGATAAAATAGAGATAGACATATATATGTTTTTTTTTTAATTTGGTATAGGATTTAATTTTGATTTTTCCCGTTGGCTGCTGCCATTTTCCTCGTCCCGCCCACTTATTTCCAGGCAGTACGGAAAAATCTGCCACGTGTAAGATTGTGAGGGGTGAGGGCCCACTTACCTCGTCGACCTAACTTGGGGAGGCGGGACCCACTTGCCTTACCCGCTCCGTGCCTCCTCCCCTCCCATGGAATGGAGGTGGGGTCCATGTCCAAGCGACGAGACGATAGACCAGAGGTGGACACGTGCAGTCCACGTGAGGGGAGTAGTGGTGGGGCCCACCGGGGGGTTTTTGAAAATAGGGGAAATTGAAATGATGATGGGGTGGGGCCCACCGGGTAGCCAGGAGTTGGAGTTTTATCCGTTTGCCGCGTTTTACGTGCATAGTGAGAGACGGTTGGGTTAGAATTAGACTACTGAGTATTGAGTTTTTGAGATTTCGATTTTTTTTTCTCTTTTCTTTTTCCAATTTTAAAATAAATAACGTGGGTCCCACGCCTCTGTCGAATGTTCCAAACGTATCTTTCACGCTTCCATTTCGAACTCTATTATATTCTCCTTCTCCCCTACCCTAAACCTAAACCCAATACCTCTTATTTCCATTTACCGAGCCAACCTAATCACCCCTATTTTCCAATTAAGTAATCTTCTTTGCTCACTAATTTACAACTTTAAATCTTTAAACGTTCCATTCTAAAATAATTATATTACATCTTTCGATGTTTAAGTATTAAATTATAGTAATATGCTGTTCATAAAGAGGAGATCGAAACTTCAATACATAGTGTGCAGTTACAAGTGGTATTTGTTTCAGAAAAATTATATAATCAATCCTAAAGACTTTAGGTAATTGTGTTGGAGGACTAGCATCAAAAGGAACATAGTATTCAAGACCATGACCTTATAGAGTTGTAATTAAGGATTTGCAATTTCTAGATTAGGTAATTGCTTTCAGTGAGTTTTACTTATTTTGACATGGTTTCCAAGATTAATACTATTAGATGAAGAATTCTTCCATGAATTACGTAARAGACATCAATCACTCATAATGAAATTCAAAATTTTAAGATCGAGAAAAAAAGAAAAACGGTGTTGGTAAACAAGGCTTTGATACCAAGTCTGATATCAATAGTAGAGAGAAAGCATGGTAAAGAAGGATAAAGAATACAAGTGCCTATTGAATATCTTATCTCTATATTATTAATGAGTGAGTTAGCAATGGTTTATATAAACGACCTTTAAGAATAATAACAATAATTGAGGACTTAACTAATAATAACTCATACAGCCATCCATTGATTCATGGTTTAACTAATTCACGGTATCTAGGACATTGTAATTTTAGATTTGTGATACTTGATATCATAATGCTCTTCGGTGTAAGTTTTTTAATGGATTAAATTACAAGTATGGTCCTTGAATTATTTCGGTTTAGTCTCTTAAATTCATACTTGATAAAAATATCTATCCAAAATTTTTAAGATGGTATCTATTTGCTTTCAAAAGTTGTTATCAATTTAACATTTACATGCCACACTACCCATATTATTTAATGGTAAAAGTAAAACGAGCGAAATGAATGATGTATATATCGATTAGACATGAAACTAAAAATTCAAAGAGTCTATTAGACATATTTTGAAGTACAACGACCATATTGATACAATATTACAAATGTAGATACATATTATAAATTAGTTAAAGTACCTAACATAATAAACATTACTCAACGATTAAGACATCCACTCATTTTTTTTCAAATCAAAGATTTAAATTTTCATCTTATATTTGTTACCCTTAATTTTAAAGTTACCAAACTTATAATTTAATATTTTTTCAGTGAAAGAGGGAAGGGAATGTCATTTGGTTATATTGTTTTTGTTAATTAAATAAGCAAAATATAGTTTTCAAGTAAACCAAACCGCCTCTTCTTTTCAAGAGAGTCTGTAATGGAAAAGTACAAAGCCCTCACGCCAACTGTTATATTAAAAAAAGAAAAAAAAACAATATTTTATTCGAATATTGTAAATAAAAAACAGAATTTAATATAAATTGGACAGTGTACAATGAATTGGAGGTGGTAAAAGTAAAGGTATGTATCTTTGTCACGTTGACTTTGAATTTAAATAATCCATATGGCTGCTTACGTGGAAGGGTCGGGATGGATAAACAGATGAAAGAAGATGATTGGTCGGTGCTATTGCTTAACTGTCACAGCCTTGGACTGGACACGCAGATTTTACACTATAATTTAATTCATTAATTTAAATTTTTAAAATAAAGGGTCACAAAATATCTGTTAAATATTAGACAATATAGAATGGAAGGATATATTTGAGATTTAGAAAATAAATTAAGGGTAAAATAGAGAAAGAAAGAAAAATTAAAAAGAAATTAAATAGGCACGTGGCACTCGCATGCTTTTTATTTATTTATTAAGGCCGCCGGTCCGCCACCTCCAATGTGGGCCCAGCGCGAGGATGGTGACCAACCAGGCACCAGTTCACTTCACACGCTCAATTGCGTGTCGAAATATCAACTTTTTCTTTTGTAAATGACTTCAAACTTCAATAAATTATAAACTATTTTCTTACAATTGTTATAGTTATTTATTAACTATACTTTTTTTAATCTTAGAAAGAAAAATATAAAGACCTATGATATATTTTACCATTTTATTTACATTAAAAAAAAAGAAAACTTTATCGAATGGATTATAGATTATTTATTGCTAAAATTTGCACATAATCTTAAGAGCATATTTGAAATTAAAAAAAAAAACATCATCTACTAATAGAATTTTTTATTTTTATTTTTTGTGATAAAGATCTAATAATAGACTTGTTTATGAGTTCTTAAATACTTCACACGCTCAGCACGTGTAATTAAGATAGATGGAATATATGTAGTGTTGATATAGTATGGAGTCACCTACATTCTAGAATGACATTAGAACTACTAAATTTAGACAATTTAAAAACAATATAATAATTAATATAGCAAAATACAACTGAAAATAATATGGTGGTGATAAAAACTCCCTTCAATTGAAAAGTCCCAAAATCACAACTAACATATCTGTTGTTAGGACGTCTCATTGACATTACCAATGGTGACAACGCAACAAAATCAAAAAAAAAAATGAAGAATCCATTGATGAAAAAAACGAGGAAAATAAATAATGAATTAATGCTCAAATCAAATGAATTGCTGGATCAACCAAAAAAGAAAAAGAAAGTTTTGTGTCATGTTCCACATGCAAACATTTGACTAATTGAATTATGTTTTGTTATTCCCATTTTCCTCAAATCCACACTTGAATTTTATAGGCTTTTTTTTTTTTCAATATTTTTACAGATATTACAGCTTTCTATACCCATATCTATCTACATAGAATTCTAGTATTATTATGGTTAAAACTAAACAAGATACATCATACCCACCTCAAGGGTTGATGATGAATGTGATGAACCTACAGGGTAGTTAGCTTCTCTGCTGTTCTTCCTCAAGAACTCGTAAATGAAGTCGATCGACACCCTTTTCAGCATGCTCGATCCTTGTTTTGCTTTCATGTGCGACCGTCCTAATATGTAAGCTACTCCTCCTTCCCTTGCTTCCATTAGATTTTCTAGTTCTGCCATTGCATCGGTGTTGATCTTTGGGCTCTCGGGTACGATGAAACGCACTCTTTTCCTCAATTGAATTGGAGCTGGCGACCTTATTTCCCTTGCGTCTGAAGCTGCATACAGTTCTTCAGAGTCTGCGTCGTTATTGTTCTCAGCCATCTGAATTCTATCTTCATGGGTAGAAGATGTCCCGACGACTGTCATATTTTCACCATCTCTGTCAAAACCGTGTTTGGAATCACTAGACTCTGGATTCCCTGACCTCATAAACTCTGCTATGCTGCATATAAGATCATTCTCAAACCCTACGTCGTCTTTGTGAACATCTCGATACCCATATCGTACAATGCACCTATAGAGTCTATATTCGCTCGTACCTATACGACCTATTAGAAACCGTTCCTCAGGTCTAACACGTGGCACCGGGACATGTTTGATGCAAAGGAAAACGAGAACCTGATGGAAGGCAGGAATATTGGTGACGAAGTGGGTGAAGATACCCGGGATTCCTGAAACAAGCTCCGTCTGTATGAGACCAATCCCACGAACCCTTACGATGCCTAGGCTGGGACCCAAACTAAGCAGCCAGTTGATAGAAACCTTGTTTTGGATGTCAAATTCATACTTCTTAAGAGTACCATAGTGCCAGACATACATAACAATCAGCAAGACAAGAGAAATAGCGATGGGAACCCAAGCTCCTTCAAGAAATTTGATGAGAGAAGCTGAGAAGTAGAGAGATTCAATGCTGCCAAAGAAGAAGATGAAGCCTATTGCAAGAAACACGCTTCGATGCCAACACAGGACGATAACAAGAGACATCAAGCACGTAGTAACCAGCATGACGGTTATCACTGCCAGACCTGTTCCCCAGAAAATGAACCATCAATCACGTTTAAAAACAAGAAGAAATAGAGTTTTAGTTCAGAGGGCCGAAAATTATGTGCAACTGACAGATGACTGCTTTAATATAACCAGAACCATACCTGAGGCATGACCCAAGCGCTTTGTGTCTCTGAAACCTATGGTAACAGCCAAGCACAACAGCATCAAAATCCAATTAACCTCCGGGATATAAATCTGACCGTGAACTTTCGAGGATGTATGGACAATTTTAACTTGCGGAAAGCAACCCAAAGCGGAGCACTGCTTTATAATTGAGAAAGTTCCGGTGATTATAGCCTGGCTTCCTACTACTGCAGCAAGCACAGCGATTATAAGGACAGGCCACCTCAATTTCTCTGGAAATGGAAAACAAAAGTCAATTAGCCAAATATTTTCAAAACTTGAATTAGATCTGAAATAACTTTCATGTGGTGTGGAAACCCATTCTTAAGGCCTACCAGGTACAGATACATAAAACCCAATTACATTTGGAGTGGTATGATTTTGAGATAGATAGGCAGCTTGTCCCATGTATGCTAGGAGGAGAGATGGATAAACCATAAAAGTGAAAGCAATCTGCAAGGGTTTTAAACAAAACAGGTAACTTAGAAAATGGTCGAGATGAAGAAGACATGCTTCAGAAAACCAGAACACAAGCGCAGATTCTTGCAAAATCAAACATCAATTTTCAAATACGCAGTGTATAGAGGTTGTTAGTAGATGATAGGTTATCAACGATCTAAGTCAGAAACACAAGAGCACATGTTATACAATTCAACGGGCAAGATGCTTAAAAAGTATAATGAGGCAAAAGTGCACAACTGTCTTAATATAGAGATAACTCTTGTGAGAAGGCATCTTTTCAGTTTGTGGGACCAGGTTTATCCTATAGAATTACATTAGTAGCAGAAATTATGAGGACTGGCTGAAATATGATAGGAAACGATAACGCAAATATGATCAATAAACACCTGAATGTTACATGAATAATATGTATCAAAGGAACCATAAAAGATGGAGATATTGGCAAAATAAAAATACAAACACGCTAGCGAACGGTAATAATCATGGCCCAGTTCTACTAATGATCAATTCTTCAATTAGTCTTATCTAGAGTTATAGGTGGGATACTGATCGTACAAACAAGTCACTGGTGGGAATTCAAGAAAAAGATGAAGAAAGGTGAATGGAATTTCTCCCCCTCACCAATCTTCAGTTAGACACTGATATAACAAGCAAGTTAATGATGGGATCATGAAGCAGACACTTGAAGATCAAGGAATTTGGAGAGTTAATATAGTTTCTGTATTTATGCTACAATAAAAGAGAACCGTTGAAGCCAATATTAGTAACTTGTAAAGAGACATGCTAAAAGTCTTGGGCTACACACGAATGAAAAAAGGAGGCATAAAGGAGATAGACATGGGCTACTCATCAAGCCTTAAGCATGAATGGAAACAAGATATCCTACTTCTACAGAGTTCTTAACTATTCAAGAATCAAGACAAAAAGAAGAAATATAATGTAATTGAGATGGGAACTAAGGTACCATCATTAAAGCTCGATCATAAACTGATGGCAATGACAGTGGGGTGTACACTCAACGATTTGAAAGAAGTGTAATTTAGTTTACAAGAAAATTCCTAAGTATTAGTAGACCCAATATTCAAAAGTTATATTGTACCTTAATTGATAGCTGTGAGAAATGCCCAAGGTCTGCAAACATCGCCTCTGAACCTGGAACAGTGAAGAGATAAATTTGATTAACAATTGAATGATTTTGCTTGTAATGGCGCGACATGATGAACAAAACTAAATGCATGCATTTACCAGTAATGCACAACATAATTCCACCAAGTGACATCCAACCTCCTTTTTGTGTTTTCTTAAGAAATTGGAACATGTAACGAGGAGAAATTGCTCTATAAACACCAGGATTCCAGTGAATAATATTGTACAAGCCAGTGGCACTGATACACAATAGCCAAACTGTCACTATGGGAGCAAACAAGAAGCCTATCTTGTGCGTGCCGTAGTGTTGAAGAGCAAACAAGCCTATCAGTATGATGCATGTGATTGGGACTTCTATATCTGCAGGAACATAAATTTACATGAGGAACTGGTCTGACAGACTCCAGTATTTAACAGTATAATACAAACTGATGGGTCAGGGTAATTGTTGGGCAAGAAACTAACAAAATATAGTTGAGCAAAACTCAATGGGCTATCATATAGTTCTTCTGAAAATAGTCTAATAGAAATAGTCTAATAGATTAGTATCTTTGCTCATAAAAGAACCACCATCTAGTATCACAACTAATTACTTGTGACACCATCCACAGTGTACATTCAGAGAGTGATATGGAAGCCGGGTGTGTTTCCGGAAGTTGTGGAAGTAGTTAGTAATGGACTAACTATGATAGAAAATAAGGTACTGCACAAAAAAAAAAAAAAATCTATTCACTATGAACCAAAATAGCAGGCTGTAGGATCAAATCATTATTTATTGTCATTACTTCTAAAATCACTGGCTTGTAAATAATGATTTCAACTGCACAGCGGTCTTATTCTTAAATCTTAACCTTTACAATCTACTTTGATTCCATGCTTATAAGTTATAACTAAGCTCCATGCTTATGATGTAGTCTTTCTTTCTAGTTTTCCACAAGCACCTCAGAAAAACAAAAACTTTTTTAAGCAAATGGGAGGGTCAAAGAGATACCCGGCAGCTCACACGGTATTACCCATACTTAATTGTTAAACATTATTCCTACACTGAGAGTCGCTACAATTTTTCAATCTTCATATAATCACAGTTTAAACTTCTTCGTCATTAAAGTCCAACGCTTCTTTATCCCCACTTCTTTGTGAAAGAGAAGATTCATACTGCCAAAGTTCAGTCTTCTCCACAGTGCTCCCCCCTTCTTAAACACTACCCTCCAACAGTTATATAAGTAGTGGTATGTCATGTCCTATCCAACACAGTAAGCAATTCAATGCAATCGATTGCAACTTGTGAGGAGACTTGTCAGTATGGTCTCCCAAGTATAGCGATCAATATTGTTGACAACTGTTTGTGATGATTGCATAACATACTAAAGAAATCGACAGTGACCCTCATTCATAAGAAGACAGGTGAAGTTGGATACTCAAAAGAACATTTTTAAACAATAGCCAACAGTTTGGACAAAAAATTGGGACCATTCGTTAGATTTCAGGGAAAACGGAAGCTACTGGCGATTTTCACTTCTAATTTTACCACTGAACCCCCACCCCAGTCCTCAGAAACAAACAAGTCATGTTCCAATTAAAAATGGGCAAGGATAAGTTCTTACATTTGTGATGCTCTTTCGACATGGTATGCTCGAGGCCAGAAACCGCCGAAAAAACTGACAGGAAGTTGAAACAAGAAATGAATGATAAACCACCATCCAATTTAAGAAAATTAAATGGAAATCGAATGGGCGAGCAACAGTGAGATTGAAAATTAGTGAATGATTACCAGAAATAGCCGGTGTCAGGATGCCATCCCCAATCACCATGCAAGCCCCAAGTAAAGCAAGAACGAGCAAGAATTTCTGCAGAATCCGACGCTTCTCCAACGCAGATTTGAGTTTGAACCCAAAACTTTCCTGAGGCGGTGGACCGTGGATATCCATCTTGTACTCAGCGAGTTCAGCGTCAACCAACTGAGTATTGGGCAATGAGCTAACTCGGGCGTGTCGACACAGCAACGAATAGAGAGCGAACGTCCCTCCCTCGCCATTGTCATCGGCTTTAAGGACGATAAATATGTACTTGAGCAGAGGAACAATAGTGAGAGTCCAGAAAACGAAGGACAAAACGCCGTAAATCTCGTCGTTGCTGGTGGTGTGCTCGATATCTTCATCAGCAAAAGTGTTCTTGTAGACATACAGAGGCGAAGTCCCCAACTCCCCATAGACAACGCCAAGGCTCTGATAAGCCATCATCAAAACCGTCCTCCATGAGTCTTTCTGCGAAAAACGAAGACAGTGAAAATCGAAACAGGGGTTGAAACTTGTAAGGCCAAATCTCCCAAAACAGAAATGAAATCAAAGGCTGAGGACTTAAATGCATGTTACAGAACGTACAGGACTTACCTTCGCATTCTTCTCATTAACCACCCCACTTTCCAGATCCATAACCAGAAGGGGGTCAAGTTTTTCAAAAGTTGAACAGAACCATTTCTCTACTCCAAACTTAAATCCCTATTTGGGGCAACTTTTAGGGGGAGGCGAAGGAAGGAGACGGATAGAGAAACAAAAAGTATTTTAAATCTTTTTATACAATAGAAAAACAAGGATTATATTATACAAATCAAATTGGGTGACTTCGCAGATCCACGATGAGTTGCCTAAGAATGCCAGATACTCAAGAAACCCATTATTTTAAAACTTTGAGAATTAAATAACAATTTCAGCAGAACACACTGAAAACGGAAGTGCTAAAAACGCCCTTCAGTAAGTTTGGAGAAAATACAGGAATATACCAACAAGAACAACAACCCAAAAGTCTTTGAAACTTGAAAGAAAAAACATATATTAAATACACATGTCTCTGTAGGGAGAGAAGGGGATGTGATTGAAAAATGGCAAGAACAACGAACACGAAAAGCCTGAGAAAATCGAATATGTTCCGTAATCATTCAGAAAGAGACGGGAGGGAGAAGAATTCAACGGTAGTTAATTTGAAGAAGTTCGAAGAGAGTTGAAGAAGAAACAGAGATAGAGGAGAAGAAGAACCAACAGCTAATCAACGCTTCTCTGCGATTAAGCGAAGAAGGAGGAGGAGGAGGAGGAGGAGGAGGAGAAGGAGTATATTGGTTATTGTCAGGATTTGGGAGGACAGATGCCATTGTGGGTATATTTTGTTACCTTCCAAAAGGTTGAATGAACTCGGTGAATTTGGGGCGAGTTGACTCAATGTGAGAGATGATGACGTAACTGACATGGAATTTGCTGCACACATAACATAACCATGCCAAATTGCCAACCACCGATTATGACTGCGTTGATCTTCATTCTCCCCACGGGAACAACAAAATCGAACTAAATTTTGTTTAAATCACATCTTCACTCCAACTTAACTTCCCATCGCAAAAACGAGCAGCTAATTGACATATATCTAGATTGTGAGTTCATATTTAAAAAATATAATTAAGAATGTAACGATAACGGAAAGATATATTTTATAAGTATAGACAGTGACTATCAATATCMTTTCTTAATCATGTTTCTATGATCTCATGATCCTTCATTTGATGGGGTACGGATTCATCCATGTATCCCTCATCTCTAATTCGACGTCACGTAAAGAGTCTAATTTATTTTTAAAAGTTAAAAGACCTATCAAATACAATTTTAAAAGTTCAGTATTTATTGAAGATAAATTTGAAAGTTATAACGTAAACTTTATAATTTAGACTAAAAAGAGTCTAAAAAGAAGATTCAATAGTCAACACTCAAGACTCAGGTTTTTTTTAAGTTAGATTCAAAGGATTTGTTCTAGAAATAGAAACCAAGTCAAAGTTTTCAAGCAACAGGGCAGTAAATAAGAGGATTGGGAAAAAATGAAAAAACTAAAATAGGAAAAGTATTTTAGAAATAAAAAAAGGTCATAGAGAATAAATCTGATGAAGGCTTTGGCTTTGCTGAAGTTGGGAAATTTGGATTCATCCTTTTTTAAGGGAATCCCTTCGAAGTGAAAGTCCTTCAATTTTGGATTTTTGCTCTTACAAGTTATACCACACTTCAGGGGAAAAAACTCCATCCCCTTTCGATTTATCCTCCTTTTTTTTTTTGGAAAAAAAATTAAAAACAATTTGAGAATGCCAAAAAAACACTAACCCATTTACTTCTACACTTAAATTCAGTTGAATTACGTGTGATCTTCCGCATGATCCATAAATTCTTGGGTTTTTAATTTTCTAAAAGTAAGTCAACTTACATGGTCATAATTTAATGTTTATAGCATTAGTTTCTATACTTTTTAAGATCAATGAGTAATTGATGGGATCAAATCATGCTAAATTTATGTCTAATAAATTAACATGACGTGGACGACATTTATTAGTTTGTTTCAATTTAGTTGCAAAATCTAAAAGTACTTGTTTTAATCAAAAATAGACTAAAGCATCAAAGTTTTAAAAGATAATTGAGGAAGAAGATCCTATAAGACAATGAGTTGGCACTACGAAAATTGTGTCAGCATGACATTCAAAAGAGTAAAAATTCTCAAGTCAAATTTTCTCACGTATCTTATTCTTTCTCCTTATGAGTATTTATTTAAAAGGAGAAATAACCTTTGGCATCGTGTGCCCATCGCAACGGTTACCTTCGAGATTCTAGACGAGAGATGCGCCACGAGGCAGGAGATGCAATTAGGCGATTTCTATTAAACTTCAAAACATTAACGACTAGTTCGGCCATGGATAAAGTCACACTAGTTTGGAAGTTCGATATTCATTGCGTCTAAACTTTCCCAATAAATATACATAGAATTGGACGACTGTCAACTTAATGATCACGTGTCAACTGTCACCTAATCGGATTCGATGGTACTGACATTTTTATAAGTATGGGTAAACTTTTTGCCGTTGATTACAAATTCTCCATATAATGCTGTTGATTTTAAACTTTCAAATATTGTTCTTAGTTATATTTACAATACCAACGGATGAGACTTCAAGGGGTGTGAAACTACATTCATGGTAGATTTCAAAACATAAATTTGAACCAAGTTTAAAATGGTAGAGCTAAAAGAATATATTTATTAAGTTAAGGAAGAAAATAGTAATTTTGGAGTGGTGGCAGTGGAAGTAATTTTCTTGGTTTGGTTGTTTGAGTTGGTGGGGGGAAACGGTGCGTATTGGGTGGGTTTGACTTGTAATACTCAACCTGGTAGTAGTTTATTTACTCCATATGTCTAGAGAAATTAAATTAAATGGGTCCAAAGTCCAAAGCGTAAAAGATTGATGGTTGAAAAATTAAACGAAGATAGAAGGTAACGATAATTTCTACAAGTGGGGAATACGTAAAAAAAAAAATAAAAAAAAAAAACAACGAAAAATCATCAATAATGCTTTTTGACCAAACATAAAAGGGAAAAGAAAAACAAGGCAACAAGGAAAGTTGATACAAGTTTGTGATAAGAAGGGTGTCGGTTCATCAAAGCTTCACATTTTTCAAACTGATCTTTTTCTATTTAATTTTTAAATACTATTTCTATTTAAACTTATTTTTATCTCTATATTTTCAATTTTGTTTCCTTGGTAATCATCTACTTTCATACTTTTGATCCCTATTTTCAAAATTTTAATACAAACGTTATTTGTTAGTACACAATAAAACCTTTTAATACACATCTATAATTGCATTTGAGATAAAAGTAAAAATAAAACTATCAAAATAGTCACTTTTTAAAAGTACAAAAACCAAAATAGATGTTTTTGAAAGCAAGGAGACTAAAATGAATAAAATTGGAGAGTAATACATAAACCAAAATGAACGTTTTGAAAATACATTAATCAAAATGAGCCAAAGCTATACTAAAATAGTATTAAAATTGTTTATTTTAAATTTATTTTTATCAAATTACAACATTTCTAAACTTTAAACGCGCTTATTTTACAATGCTCTAATTAGGTATTTTTTTCCTTTTTACCTTTGAAAAAAAAAAATGTCTTTCGCTATTTTAAATATCAATTGCTAACACCGTTGATAAAAACCAACCGAACAATAATGATGTAAACATGCCATGATGGTATGTGAACTAAACCAAAAATAGTCTAATATATCTAATATACATATCTTATTAATATATCTAATAATAATATTAGCGATCAAGGTCAAATATATATAACTATAGTCTAAAGTTGAATATTGTAGCAAGCTTAAATAAAAAGAATAACTAAAGTTACTAAATTCATAAATTACTTTCTTTTCTTATTTAAAAGATTCTATTTTAACATTGTAATCCCTCAATCACAACTACGCTTTGGAAAAAAAATAAAAATAAACAATTAAGTAAAGTCAACGTAATGTGGTTTTCGTAAAGTTTTACCGCACGTAAAACTATATGGAATAGAGGTTAGGGTGAGGTGACACCCACTCTAATAAAGTTGAGGCTAAAAATGAAGGTTCCATTTTCATAATTACTATTTTGTTTGAAGGGCTAATATCTGCAAATAATATATAAATCAAAAAGGAAATTGATACCAAAGTAGAATTAAACTATTTTAAACATTATAGTGCAAAAAATAAAATAGATAAAAAACATAGTAAAATATCTTATAATAAAATTGGTACGTTGAATCATAAAAATGGATCGCCCCTCTAAGTTCTGAAGATGTTGACAGAGGCTCATAACATACACAGAGAAGTTATGATGCTCAAGTCAGTTTAAATAAATCTATTATTTAGAGAGAGGAATAGTACCACCTACTTAAAAAGTGAAGTGAGGTTTCTATTTATAGGTATTGGTAGTCCGCCGATCCTACTTGCTTAACGGTTACCATCATTTCAAAACTCGCGGCGTGTTGTCGAAAAAACAATTAAGAGCATGAGAGGAGCGATATTGTGATCATCAACTTATTCTTTACCAAAGTTGTTAAGATCTATATTGGTTAGTTTGACCTCTACGAAGGCACGGACGACCATCCAATGTATTTGTCGGCTAGAACAAAAGGAGGGTCGTCGAGCTACTTTGTCTTCTTTCCAGACTTATGTATTCGTGTTGTAGATTGTTGTGGTGACGTGACACTTTTTAACCTAGTTAACACGTGTAAGCTTGGTAAATTACCTCCAACATAATATAATAGTAAAAACAAACTCGTAGATAAAACATCTACTACCATTCTTAAAGTCATGGTTTCATCATCCACTCTCACCATACAATTGTTTGATAACCCTTTCCTGTTTTTATATTTTTACTTTCTCGAATATATATAGTTTGAGTTATTTGTCAAATTTAAAACACAAAAACAAGTTCATAAAATTACTGTCGGAGTAGTAGTGCATTTTAATATTTCCTATATTTAGAAACACAAGAACCCATTATTTATTTGGGTGATTATGGTTTTATAAAAATGAAGTGAAAATCGTTTTCATAGCCAGACAAGGGGTGCCCCCATCAGGTAGTGCCTGATAGGTTATCAGAAATTGGTCAATATAAAAAAATAATAATAAAAAACAACTCCTTTTTGCCCAATAAAAGTTGCCCTGGCCTTTGCCACCCCACCTATTTTTATTTTATTTATTTTGCCTTTTACTCACAAACTAATCCCTTAGGCCTTAGGCCGTGTTTGGCTTGAAAATTGACATCACCACTAACCATTCATTACAATTTAGCTGACCACACATCTTCTATTTCTATCTCAGTACGTAATTGGGAGCATAGTTTTAAATATCTGTCGACACGTCGATATTTCTGTCAATATATCTATATTTTCATRGGTTTCATGGGCTCGATATCGAGGATAAATCGACATTTCCATCGTAGTATAAAAAAATCGATAAAATATAAAAAATATCAATAAAATGTCACTAATATATACATAATATTAATATTAATTATTTTTTAACTTATTTAGAAATATGAAGATGTTTATTTGTTAATTTAAATATTTTTTACAATCTTTTAATTTCTATAACATTTTTACAGAAATATTCATAGACATCGACATTTAAAATCTTGGTTGGGAGTGATTATACAATTAGTAATCTTAGAAAAAACTGATTTGAGTATAATTTATTTTTCAAAATCACCATCATACCTTAAAAATCAATTTAAAATGATTTTAAGATTTTTTAAATGATACTTGGATGATATTTAATCAATAATTTATTTACATATTAAATGACAATAGTAAGAAATTTACTATACTTTTTTAGTCCTAAGAAATTTACTATACCTGTGCAACAACTAATAAGAAAAAAAATAATCATTTATCTTATATTTAAGATTTAAGCTAAATTTTTAGATAATTTTTATTAGGGATGAACAAGACATATGTAGTCTCTCACCTTAATATTCTAGTTTTAATTTAAAAGTTTAGTAAACAAATACACTTCTATTTTTTTTTCAATTAAAAACAGTTACTAAATATAATTACATTCTTATTTATTAAAAAAAATGAAATGGTAAACAAAAATTTAACAAACAAAAGAATTTTGCTCTTAATTGGGATCTTGAAACAGTCAATTTCCGCCAACATTTATTTTTTCCTTCACAAACGTGAGTTGTTGATCTTGAGAACATGGAGGACACTAAGGAAAATAAAAATTAATAAAATTTCAAGCCCAACTGGATTTTACTAAGAAGTTTACCATATAATATAATATATATATTTTTTAATTAATAAAGAAAGGTACGGTAGGAATTTCAACCTCACCTCCCTTAAAAAAAGAAGATATTATAATATTTCAATTGAAATATGCTCAAACTGATAATAATAATTTTATTGGTGAGGGTACTGTGAACCTCCGAGTTCCACATACGTCAATATTAATTTCTCTAATTCCTATAGTCTAGAAGGAGGGATTTAATTGCATTATTGTTGCGGTTTACTTATAGAAAAAAAAAATCTCCGATAGAAGAATAAATTAGTGGCTAAATTTTTTAAATTTTTCTTAAATGGGATTGAAAATAAGAAAATTAGAAAAAGAAAAAGATATACAATAAATAAAGTTATAATAGAAGATGATGGGRAGATATATATTGGTATTTGGTTGAGGATTGTTGGCGTATGAAATCAGACTTTAAACCGTATATTTGAAGTGAATCTATAACGTATCTTCCATTTCCCAGATGATACTGCAATTACATCAAACACGCCATTTTGCCAATTCTTTTTTGCTTTCCGCTATTTTTTTCGTGTTTCACATTTCGCCGCTGTTTTCCTCTCGTTGGTTTTAGCATTAGGTAGGTAACGTAGGCGTTTCTTTTTTTCTTTTTAATTTGACAATAAAAAAAATGATTCTCAAAATCACTCCAAAACACACTTTACTAATGTTAAGTATGCTTCCGGCTCAAATTCGGACCACAATTTGAAATAATTCAGACTTATTCGACATTTGATGACCATGATATTTCCATGCGACCTCCAAGCTAAGTATGAAAGTTTTTATGATTGAATCACAAAAAAAAGGGACATTTCATGATCCCTCTCATTCAAATTTGGTGTCGATTAATTCATCTATCTCTCCTCTTCGAATGGATAAGTTAGAGCAAGATGACTTTTCCTTGGTGCTTTTCGTCTTCGCATGTTCGAGCTAAGATTTGAACAGGTAGGGAAGAGAGTCATGTGTGTATTTTTTTTGGTTTATGATGTTTATGCTCGTGTTTCTTATGCTGTTTGTGTTTGTGTTTGTGTTATTTATTTATTCATTCATTTTGTGGTTGATCTTCTTAATGTTCCTGCAATTTTTTCCAGGTCTTGTTCTTTCTTTTGTGTTTAATCTCAAGTTGTGATATATCCATTCTTTTCCCTTTGCAATATACCTCATTTTTGCAGAAAAAACATATTATATAATTGACATTATTTTAACAATGTTAATTTGAAATGGCTTCAAATCAAATCAAAATCTATCCGAGTTCTTAATTATATTAGGAATAAAAGTTAGGTGCATTGTAATCATCATAATACCATTTCTACGTCAAAACTGATTTAGTGAGTATAACTCAGCGATAATTGACATATATTTCAAACCAAAAGGTTGTGAGTTCGATGCCCAACCCGACATGTTGTACTAAAAGAAATAATACCCTTTCCCTGAAAACATTCTTTAAATTACTTTTATTGTTGGTGTATTTAGAAGTAATGAATTTTATCTTGAAATTTTTGATATTAGTAAATAATAACTGACTAACATTTAAAATATAGAAATAAAAATATGATGTCTACTAATAAAGTCACGTCAATTAAAAAAATATAAGTACAATTTTTTTTTTAAGTATTCTCGGGACAACTTGTTGAAGTTTGTAAAGTGTCAAGGACAGTTTCAAATACGACAAATATATTTAGTAAAATAAGTAAAATGACAACCATATTTAGGTTTTTCAAATATAGTATTTTTTCAATAAAAAACCTACAATATATGTGATTTATATGTGTAATATATCTACAATATATTTGACTATTGATATAGGTCTATGATATATTACTGATATAATAATGATATACAATTGATTTACTTATAATATAACTATGATATCTACTGAACTTCTAATATGACTTACCACTGATATACGTACGATAACCATTGATTTACCATGTCGATACAATATATTATATATCTGTGGTATATACTTGATATGTCTCTAATTTACAATTGATTATACAAATGATATACAACTGATATAACTTCTTATATATGATTCACCACTAATATAACACTGATATATATTTGATATATACTTAATATGTTTCTAATTTCCCACCGATATACCTCTGATATAACCATACTATCTACTAATATAATTATGATATTTGTGTTGATATAATACTATTATATCATTTTTTTCATATGAAAACAATGGTGCAAAAAAAATTTAAAATATAAAGTTATTGTATAAAAAGTTTATGTGGATCATGTACATAAAAAACAAGTTATAAATATTTATAAATTTAAWCGGTTGATATCTCTTATATTTAGTATCTAATTAATATTAATATAGAATAAATAGTAGTGATATAGTAATCAACATTATTGATAATATTAGTATATATCAATCAATAAATTACAATGGAAAACTATAATTTAAACCGTTGATATACCACTAAAAATTAAACAGTTAATATACCCTATATTTAGTATATTAGTTGCAAATATACTTAGTATATCGTAAATTAGAGGTACATCAGATATATATATTAGAGGTATAATACATACATCTGATAATGCATATCATGGGTACAATATGATAATGTATATCAGAAGTACATCAGATGTATATCATATATAGATTGGATGTATATCAGGTATAGATATACATTAGATTTATATGAGTATATCAGATATCATACGGGCAAAATCAAAATAATAAAAATTTTGCTATATTTGAAATTTTGAAAACATAGTGACATTTTTTGAAATTTATGAATTATTTTTACTACCCTAATTACCCTCAAATTAGATCACATGAAATATGGAAATAGAATACAATTTAGGGGTAGAGAATAGTTCCAATGTAGTTTTTTCCGGATAGTTATTTTCAAATTTGAAGTCTTCCATTTTGATTCGGTTAGTTGAACAAACAACACCAAAGAAAACAAATCTTTTTATTTTTCATTTTCAACACAAAATTTTACAATGAAAGTCAAACTAAACCTTTACAGAAGTTGGTAGACCAAAACTAGACGGTGAAATTTAATGTATAAAATTAAATTTGGGGACGAAAATATAATTTAAGACTTTCTAAGTTTCCAGTCAATGGGTATTCTGAAGTCTCATTTTTTGTTTTGTTGAAATTTGAAATTAAGTAATAAAAGTTACTCTGACCGATTACAATTTTTGCATTTTTGATTTTCATTAACGTGTATTAAATAAATAGATCAAATATATTATTTTAGTATTACATTTTCAATAAAATAAAAGATTCCAACTACACTTTTTTTTTTAATAGCGATTCCAACTGCATCTAAAAAAAGCTAATTAAATTATGTAAAAACAGACTTTTTTTTTAATATCTCGTCTTTGTTAAATTACAAAAAGTTTAAATGGAAATAAAAAAAATTTGTAATTTAATAGTCAACTTGATTTTAATTCAATTGATTAAGGAATTTATCTTAGACTAAAATGTCGCTAGTTCAAATACTCATTGTATTAAATATATATATATATATATATATATATAATTTAAGAAAAAGAATGTTTCCAATAGAATTTTAGCAATTATTAAAATTTGAAACTAAAATAGCTCAGCAATGGTTAAAAAAATTACGTAAAAATATCTAAACAATTGTACAAAAACCGTTGTTTTATTTTCAAATATCAAATAGGATGGATTGACAAATGACACCCATTCATTGATTCAAATCCTTTTATTTCTAGTCATACACAAATTATTTTAAAAAAAGGACGGCCGATTGAGGCCCAAAGGACTCCTCGGCCGAAATTGTACAGTAGAAGTTCGTGCGGCCCAAATCGGTAAGAGCTGCTCGGCCCAATATGGTTGCCATGGCATCGACTACCGGAACCAGTCTCACTCATCGCTTGACTGACACCTTCTGCAGACTTCCGAGCATCGGAGCTCTGCGACTACGCCGGCGCCGCTTCTTACCTTATCACCGGGGGATCTGATCGAACTCTTTGACGATTTTGAGAGATCGTTTCTCTTGGTACGCTTCATCTGCGCGATCGAAGAGCACAACCCTAACTTTTCTCCATGTCTTTAACCGTTATTATAATCCTTAAACTAGCGCTCCGATTTCCATTTTTTTTTCCCTCCATTGTTATTGGCTCCTGCAAGTGCTGCCGAAGGAAACTTCTCTTTGTTTATTCTTTATGTTTACTAGCTCCTTTCTGTTGTTTTCTTGTCGTTTTTAGGAACGATTTCGTCTTCTCAAACTAGCATATTTCCCCGGGATTGTTTAGTCTTTTACTATTTTCAGGTGGTTCTTCGCTTGTTCGGAACAATGACTCGAGTTTACATTGGTAATCTGGATCCACGCGTTACAGAGAGGGATCTTGAAGATGAATTTCGAATGTTCGGTGTTCTTAGGAGGTAATTTCCGTTTGAAATTTTTATATAGAGGCATCCTTCACATGTTTTTATTTTAATTAACATCCTTTTGACTTAAGACATTCACCAAATCGTCCGAAAGGGGAAAATTTTAAGTCCCTGGGTCTGTCAGTGGTAGTTTGGTGGTATTTACGTTATAGCCGATTTTAGTAACTGGACTCAGCATTGGCCCTAGTTTTTGTATGGCGCTTAACTATTAATCCGTGGCGTTTTAACCTGGCCAAAGCCGGACATCTCATCACTCTGCAGGGGAAGAAAAAAGCCGCATTTTGTCACTTTTCATACCAGAACGTCTATTTTAAATCTGTGTATTACCATAGAATATAGGCTGGTTTTAGCCTGCCAGCAGTGGGAGTTCAATATTTGGACTCTGTTCTGTGCATTAGACCAATATTTTCGTTCTCGTCAGTATAATTTGTTTAAGAAACTGGAACACGGACTCTTCGAGATCTTATGGCTTTTCTTGAGATTTGTGGGATCAATCTGCATGGCCCATATCTCAAGGCTCGCAGTAATTCAGCAAAATGCAGTGTTATATTTCTAAAGGTCTAGATCTTGCATCAACTATTAACATGAGAAAGTTTACACTTTACAATTTGTATCCTCCACTTGCTTTAATTTAAAAGAATATATCTGCTCCCTAGTCCCTTGTTCCATCGTATTAATCTGCATTCTGAATTATTTGTCTGTGAATATAATAATACAGCGTTTGGGTTGCTAGAAGGCCTCCAGGATATGCATTTATTGAGTTTGATGATCGCAGGGATGCTCTAGATGCAATACAAGCATTGGATGGTCAGTTCGAAATAAAATTTTGATTTTTTTCTAGCAGACATCAAGTTTTGCTTTTCATTCATTCTATCAAACTATGGTTGCTTTCATATGTATATATACACAAACCTTTTCTCAAATACTAGTGAACTATGATCAGCGAACTCAGTAAGTGCTTTTCCCCCCTCACCTTTATCTGCCATCTAGTTCTCATTACCACTGCAAATTAGATTTTTATAATGGGTCTAGTTTAGTATCAATTTTTGTCCACAAAAATGAACTAAATCATGGAAACCGAGTGGCTTATTTAAATGTCAATTTTATTCTTAGAAGGCACCTTAATGAAAAAAGAGTGTAGTGAATGGATCGATCTCTCCAATATGCTTCAAGGTGTGATTTTGGGAATTCTCGTGATTCTAAGATATGGAAACTTGAGGCCTTTAGGGTTATGGAAATTGGAAGCCATTCTTTTAAAGCATGTTTTGATGCCCTCTTTAGTCTATCTTGAACCAGCACCTGATTTATTTGGTGTGGAAGGCTAAAGTGCCTAAGAAGGTTTAACATTTTAAGTCTTCCTGTGGACTTTATTCCATAATGGGCTAAACACTTGCAATAAGCTTCAAAGCCAGTGCTTCCTGACCTCTAGGCTATAGCTCCTAATTTGTTAGACTTTTCTCCTCTCTATGGTGCTCTAAATCAAAAGATTTTTTGAAATTACAATCTACCTTTGATCCAAGCCAATTGGGATCCTTTTCCGTAAGTTCCTAGGGCTTGTAGGGTGATTCATTATCCCCCTACTATTTTGTCTCTCACTAAATAAAGGTGCTCTTTTTCAGTGTTAAAAAAAAAACTGTTTGTACCTCTTAAATCCTTAATAGTTATGGTACTATACTTTCTTAAATTTACTTGAATTGAACATTCTTTAGATTCTTGGATTTGGTTATCTGGTTTCTATTCAATTTTTTTGTTAAGTTCCCTATGGCTGTGTTTAACTTAGTTTCATTGTCTCGAGTTTAAATTTTATATGTGATTTTCTGGGCTCTTTAACAGGGAAAAATGGTTGGCGTGTGGAGCTTTCTCATAACGCTAAAGGCAGTGGAGGTGGTGGCGGTCGTCGTGGCCGTGGTGGTGGTGATGATCTGAAATGTTATGAATGTGGTGAACCTGGTCATTTTGCTCGAGAATGTCGCTCCCGTGGGGCTTCACGAAGCATAGGAGGTGGTCTGCGTCGTAGTCCTTCCCCTCGTCGTCGTAGGAGTCCTAGTTATGAAAGATATGGTCGCAGGTGTGTCAAAGTTGTGCACACGTTTTTTTTAAATACAACAAGTGATCTAATTGGTGCCAAACCAACGGGTGGTTTCATTAAACTTTGGATTTTGATGTTCTATCACTTTTTTCCTTATCTCGTATAGGAGCAACAGTCCTCGTGGCAAAAGATCCCCAAGACGCCGCAGCATTACACCTCCTAAGCGTGGTCGGAGCTACAGCAGGTCTCCTCCATACCGCCATGCTCGTCGCAGTTCACCTTATGCTAATGGGTATGCGTTACTTTTATAACATGACAACTAGTCGGTAAAACCTGTGTAGCAAATTAAATTTTTTTTTATTGCAAATAAATGTTTGTGACATGGAGGTCAGTATAATGACGTTGCCCATTGATCCAAACTTAGGCCTCCAATAGTGAAAACTGAAAAGTGGAGGAGAATTCTTAGCTAATTAGTGAGAGATAGAGAACCATATTTCCTCAAACAGGTTGATCCTGGGCTATCATTGGGAGTATAGTAAGAGTGAACTAGGATCAGTGGATATAATGTTCTCTTGAAAGGCACTGGTACTTTTGTAATCTGAATCCAGGTCATCAATGAGCCCCATTTGGAGGCCTATGACATCCCTGGACATTGAGCAAGTAATGAATATATAACGTCTTTAAAGTACGAATGATTATCTACAAATGCAGGTCGACACATAGCTGATTCAGCTATAAATTCCATGACTTCTCCTTTTTTAGATGCATATGCATCAATCTAAGAGTTGCCTGTTTATCATTATTGCAGAGATTGAGGCTGGAATCAAGGCTGATGCAGTGCTGGTAGAACTTAGATGATGGTGTTTCTGCTATACTGTAGTTCTAATAGGAATTGTGGAGTGAACCGGAATCATGTAGTTAAGTTCATCTCTGACAATTGGTTCTCTTTGAAACCTGGATATGGATGGGTGTCTACGAAGTATTTTAAGAGCCACGAAATGGGGTTCTGTTCGGCACCATTTTGTGTTGGCTCTCTTCCGCCTGCTGAAACTCGGAGGTCTCTTCTTGCTTTAAAAATCATATATACTACCTAGAGTTTTATATATACCTTACCATCTATTTATTATTATTATTATTATTTCATTGGATGCCCCTAAAGATCTATCTGTTGGTTGTTTTTGTTTTTGAGGTGTGATTTTCGGCTATAAATGGCATCGTTACTCAGCTAACTGCATCTTAGTGCATCACGGTTCTCAATATCTACTCTGCTCCACAATCATCTTCTTGTTTCTACAACTGGTTGCATGCTGTTTGTATTGCACTCTTCTGCAAGAAGGCATCCCATTTATTTAAACCTTTTTAGCTGGTTGAAGAAGATGAAGCTGGTTTTATGTGATTGTCTGCTCATCATCTTCTCGTCTATCAGCGTTTTACGAGCTTCTATGCATGCGCGAAACTATCCTGAGATTCTTCTTTTATAACACCAGCATCTTGTGAGCTTCAACTCGTTTATTGCTCTCCCCAACTTTTGGCCTGCTCCACCAAATCTTGCACCAATCGTACTTCTCATTATTAAAGACTGCTAGTGATTTGCTTTTAGATGGTGAAAGCAGTTAACATCATGGTTCTGGGCCCTCCAGTGTTTGTTGACTACTCTCTCTCGTTTGTAGTTTGAGGGTCTAGGACTTTGGTAATTGGGAATGCTTTGGTTGGTTAGAGTATATTTAGATTCTATGCTATGTTTGTTGTTTGCATTGAGAATTACATCAAGACCAGCCCGTTTCAATTAAAGAATCATTGATTTTATTGTGAGGTATCTTCTTGAACTGATGGCTTCATAAAATCTCTCATCGCCCCATCTGATTATACTGGAAACTTGCTAACTTTTATGGAATTGAATTCTAATGTTGTTCGACGGTAAAAATGCCAAGACGCAGGTATGAGAAAGCAGAATGAAATCCCAAGTGTTATTTTCTTGAACCTTGAATGAACCTCAGATACCACATTACAGAAGGAAAAAGATGGAAAATTGTGGGGAAAACAAGAGCTGTTTCTATTATTCATAAAGCCTCAAGAAACTTTATGATGCTGAATCAAAATAAAAAGCAACCGTTTCAATTTCATTTACGCCACTGCTAACATCTAACTTCGTCATCAAGGAACTATAATTTAAGCCTCAACTCCAAGACATTCAACCAATCTTTGCTTCTTCATTGCTGCTGTGGGAGCGATACTCATTTCACTTTTGAATCGATAATCTTCTTAGCAAAAGAAGGCAAGCAAAAAGCTGCTGTATGAATCTGAAGATATCAACAAACATGGAAAGATATGTTTGAGTTCATGTGAAATGGAAGGAGTGATAAATCAGGATATGAAAGGGTGACAGAAGATCCAACCTCGGAGTTGTAAAACTTGAGTGGACCTTTCGCAGTTTCGCTACCGTTATCCTCAATCGGGTTGACCGGATGCTTGAAATCAACAGGGGGTCCTTCAGTTGAGCAGAGCATAAACCCAATCACTCCACTGAAACATCGACCAGGTTGATTGTTAGAAAAGCAATTAAGAACAGAAGCATAGAAATTTCACAAGACCAATGACAAGACAGAACTATATTCGAATGGTGAACTGTAAAAGAAAACTGAGCTTTTTGTATAAATTCTAAGTGAACCAGTCAAGCAGAAAGTAAAAGCAAAAGCCCGATGCTCGCAGGCCCGGGGGATGTCAAATTGTTAAAGCTGTGTACCTTGGATATGTAGGAACTGTAGTCCACGCATAGTTGACAGAGCCTTTGAATATTTGGCGACAGTTTGTCACAATATCTTCAATGATGTGCATGTGAAGCCATATGCTCTCTGCCTGAGTACACACAACACCTCCCGGTCGAAGAGCTTTGGCAACCGAAGCAAAAAAAGGTTTCTCAAAAAGCTCTTGTGCAGGACCTGAAGGATGACAAATGAATGACATTATTTTCAAAACAACCAACATTGTTCCGGGATATGAGAAGGATATGATTACCAATAGGGTCAGAAGAATCCACAATAATTGCATCATATGTGCCTTCAGGAACAGCCTTCAGAAATGCAACCCCTGCAAAATGAGAAGCATGCCGATAAACACAACAATTCAGATAGAGGGGGTGGGGTTATGGGAACTGAAGAGAAAAATGATTGATCATATACCATCACCAACATGAAGTGTGACGCGAGGATCCTCATATCCAACAGCTACGCGTGGGAAAAATTCTTTGGAAACCTGCAAAGGTAGATGCAGGCAACCGTATTCGATCACAATAAGAAGTGTTTCCTCACATTTGTCATAAGCATATGAGCACCACAGGTCCACAAGTATCTATAGCAAGTTTGTACTCGAATAACCGATAATCCTGGGAAGTTATTACTTACGTCAACTACCATCTTGTCAATTTCACAGATATCTATCTGCTCAACAGATGAATGGCGAGACACCTCTCGCAGGACACCACCATCTCCTCCACCAATAACTAGAACCTAATAAGATAGAAATTGAGTGAAGAAACAAGAAAACAAAACACAAATTAGCATAGCCCCCGTCACAGCATTTCCTTGCATGGATCAAGGACAAAAAGTTTCTTTCAGGTTTGCAACAAGGAGAACATAAGGCATGATAAGCTCGAACTAGTAAAAATGGCATAGCCAGACATCAATCGCCCGCATGGATTATTTCCAGGAGATAGTACGAAACAACCTTAAAACTTAATATTTGATATGAATCTCAGCTGCAAATAGTTATAATGAAATATCCACAAAAATGTCACTGACATCCCCTGCTCCGCATCTCGTTTCTTAATAATCAAAGGTATTAGACCATATACCATCCAGAGTATGAAAAAACTTATGACTCCATATACAAGTTCTAAAACATTCTCAAATTATTCCACAAAGAGAAAAAACCTTTTTGGGGTTTGGAATTGAGCAAAGTGGAAGGTGAGCGATCATTTCTTGGTAAGCACATTCATCTCTCTCTGTAAGCTGAATCACCCCATCCAAAACAAGAACCTTTCCATATGTTGATGACTGCAGGGCACATAAACCAAAACTCCAACATCAGCCCATCGAGGGCAAAATTCACAGTGAAAGACAAAATATCAGAAGATTCATCCTCATATAACAATACCTGAAAGACCAAAACATTCTGGTAATCAGACTTCCCTTGGAACAAAATTTTCTCCACCTTCAAGGAGTGTGCCTCTCCTGCATGATATCGAATCGTTTGATTTTCTCAACGAAAATGAAAGCCAAAGCGAAAAAACCCAAAGAAATATATTTGCAGGAAGAGAAAAACTGGATTCCGTGGTATTGTTCATCAATCATCATCTAAACAAATCTCAGCAGCCAAACAGACTACAAATAATGAAAAATATGAGATTAGAGAAGAAAAACTCACCAGGCCACATTGGGCTAATCTCAGAAAACCACCCAGGAATTACAGAGGAAATACAATCGGGCTCCTTCTTCCCCTCGGTCGCTGTGACCAAAGCGGGGGCTGATACCCCATTCTCCTCCGGCTTCTTCGCCGCCGCATCGGCAGCCGACCCAACGCCATGCTCCGCTGCCATAATTCCTCCTTCACCTCACTGAAATTCCAAACCCCAAAACAAGGCCCAAGAGGGGAGTGCTGCTATCTGACCCGTTTGGCTGAGACCTGTGAGCACTGAACAAAATGACCCACTTCTTCATCCATTTATATAATCGTAAGGGTTCCGTGAAAGGATTCGCTTTTGGAGAAAAAACAAGTTACGGTTTCTTTTTCTTTTCCCTTTTTTTTTTTTTTTACTCGCCTCGATTTACGCATTTTCCCCCATCCCAATCTTCAATCTTCGTTCAATTATATTCTAAACAAAATAGATTCGAAATTTTTCATAAACCTCCAAATATTCTGGCATAGTTTTATTTTTATTTTTCTCAATTACAAATTTGATTCCATGCCTTAATTTCCCTTTGGTTTTTATGATTTGAACGGGTTTGATATAGCAATTTTTTTTTTTAAATCATGCTTATTTCAAAATTTTTACATAATTCTCTCTCTCTTTTTAATATTTGTCTAGATGCCTAAATGTTCATTAATGATATAGTATATTTCTAAAGAAGTCTATCATTAATAAACAGAGATATTTCATTGTTGTTTTAATATTTTCATGAACAAATTTGGGTTGAGTTCTGTTCTTTTTTTAGTTATATTTGAAAATTCACATAGTTGTTATATTTACCATTAATTAGATTTGTTTTGCCACACCTGTACCAGCACTCTTATAATCAAACTATAGAGATTAATGGAATATCTTGAAATCTAATTCAAACCGTATAACCTAAGCTGAAAACTTTTATGAAGACAAAAATGAAATTATGCCAAATTAAAATGTGTAATTTAAAATAGTTTTTAAATTTTTAACCAACAAAAAAAAAGTTGTTTTAGTTTTTTCTAATATTAAACAAATTATTTTAATTGTTGTCGTTAATTATTTATTTTCTTAATTGGCTTTTATTTTAAATTTTTTGGCCAAATTATAATTATTAAAACTAATTTTCACAATTGTTGCACGTATCTTTTTCTACTTACTCAATAGAAGTCGCCTCAAAACTACCCATCTAGGCATATCTTTAAATAATTTATTTCTAATAAAAAAATCGTGAACAAAACTACGTGATTCGACACTGTTTTACCTTATTTATTAAAATTATGTGTGATATTTACCTTATTTTTTCTTTCTTTTTTACCGCATATAACTTATTAGTGAAACTATACTTTATATGATGATTAATTTCAGAATTAACTCGCAACTATACTACTGTGATTTGGTACGTTGTATAATTGCTTAAATATATAAAAAAAAAAAAACATGCTTTGAATTTTGTTTATCTGTAAAACAAAAGGTAAAAAGCATAATGTGGCTGGAGAAATATTGTTCTTAAAGTGGCTCCAAAGAGATTTATAGAGAATCTGTTCTCTCTGTACTTATAATAAAAAAATTTTCCCTAAAATTTTGTACAAAGCGTATTATGATGTATGATGATGAAGGCTTTGAGTTAATAATCTCAATTAGACAAATTAATTTCATTAATTTGATTTGATTAATTATCATCATTTCACTTTATTTTGGCAATTTTAATATAGTTGGACTAGTTTAGATATCATAACATAAAATCACTTTATTTTGATTTGTCTTTTAAGTACTCCATTCAAAGCCAGTAATCAATTCCCCAAACCTTTGGTTATGAGTGGAGCCAACAAGTTGCAAAAGGAACGGAAAAAGTAGCCCCTCAAAGCTAGCTAAAGAATAAATTCCAGTACCAGTGACTATATCCCTTCATATCCAACCGCATATAATATAATTACTTTATATTTACCGATTTGAATTTAAATTTAATTCAACTATAATCGACACCCCTCTCCAAGTGTTGTAAAAAAATTTACTTATGTTCAATATATTTCTTGACTTAAAGAGTTTCTCAAATAAATGGCAACAAGTATTTACTATTGAATAATTTACCGGATCCCACATATGGTACCCTTTTTATTTTATTTTTGTTGATCCCTAAAATAGTTATGGTGACATATGAAGTTGTAGATGGCAATTGGCCTCAGTCTACTGTTCCTTATATAAACAAAAAAGAAACAAGACTTAAATTACCAGTTTAGGTTATGGGGAAGTCAAGTTGGGGCAAAATACGTTGGTCTCCAGTCGCCAACTTATGTGGAAAATACAGAAGAAAAAAAAAAAACAAGTTAAAATGAGGAAATTGAGAAGTTGAGGTTGCAGAGATTGTTTGATTGAGACGACAAGAAAAAGCATGCATCATTTTCAATCATAAGAACTGGACAAAGATTATTGAATAATTGTTGAATTGGGGCCTCAGGTGGGGGCTACCTCTTACTCTCTTGCATTTTTGGATCACCCTTTTTTTGACCAATTTTTCTTTTTTCTTTTTTCCTTTTTCTAAATGGTTGTGCAATATCAAACCCATTTTGATTTTCCAACTAACATAGTCAATGCTGCTTGCTGACTACCTCCCTTTCATGCAACCAGCCTAAACCAATATATTTTTCATTATGTTTCCAATCATTGGAATTTCAACCCGACTTCGACACAATCATACATGTCTTAACAAAAATAGATAAATAAACTACCACTCAATCTAAAAATATTATTAATTGTCAACTAAATATTTAGTCCAATTAAAATATTATTGATTGATTTATTAATATATAGATTATAAATTTTGTACAATTGTTAGGTAACAGTAATATATTACGTTGTCAAAGTGGTAATTGGCATATACCTTCGATTCTCCATCCCAACATGTTATACTAAAAAAAAATTATATTATGTTTTAACTATTTTAGTTTTGAAAAAAAAAGAAAGAAAAGAGAAATTATAAACAAAATAATAATTTTTTTAACCGTAAATTTTAAAGTTTCAAATTTAAATTTGAAAATGTTGAATCCAATTTTCTACCATTTGAATTACAAATCCAAAAATACGTTTAAAAAATAAATTTGCCAAACAAATGTTCAATCTATATGATCAAATGAATTTAGAAACAACAACTAATAGGGATGCTAAGGAAAAATCGATAAAATCGACAAAACTGACCGAAACTGATGGTGGTTCGATTTTCAGTTTTGGTTCAGACATTCAGAAAAACAAAAATCAATCGGTCAGTATCGGCCGGCTTACGAAGACCGAAAAGAAAATCGAGCCGAACCAATTTGAAAATTATGCTTCGTTAATAGCAGAAGCCCAGCCCATTACATTCTCTCCCTCATTTAAAAGTTAAATCAAAGCCCAGCCCATTTGACAACCACCCTATCTTCGTCTCTCTCCGATCTGGTGTGAGGACGTCACGGGCTCGTCGAATCGCTGCTTGGAGAACGCACCGCCTCTCGTGGTAATCGCCGTGGAGAGTCGCCGACGCTCGGGTCTGACTTCGCGTGGGTTCGCCGGAGGGTTCTGCACCGCCGCGAGGTGATGCCGCCGACTTCCTATACATCGCGCCACCGTCAGTAGTTTACCGTGTTCGATCGTCGTTAGGTATTTTCTTTTTCTTTTTCTTTGGGATAAAGGCATCGGAGTGTGATTTTATACATTAGGTTTGTGTATATATATGCTCCCTTGACCATGGAAATTGAAATTTTGTTATTCAGCTATTCTTCAACTTGGTGCTGAATTGTTTACGACCAGGAAGGCTTTGTAATCTTCTAGCGCAGTTTAGAAAATGGTCAGTAACCTATTCTCTCTTTGGTTTGCGGCTCTGACACGTTTTGATTTCAGCACTCTCTTCTGAGTTAAGAGTGCTCATTAGTTTTCAGTTTTATTACTGTTAATTAGTTACTAATTCCTGCTGTTAATTAGTTGTATTACTGTTGTAAGAGTGTTCTGGTTCGAAGCCTTTAGATCATCTCCCTCAGTGTTTGATAAAATCACCATTGTTCTACTGCTTCTCACGAGCGATTGAAAAACAAATCGTGCCCTAGTCGCTAGACTCATAGCTCTGATACCATGGCCATCAAAATTAAAAGAGAATAGGACAATGACAAATGCAGAGAAATAGTACTAATATTCTCTTTAATCGAGAATTAGTGAAGAGTACGCCGAATACAGCCTATTATAGGCATGGGTAGTTCTGCACTATTATCTGACTGATTATCAGCCCTTTACAACAGTAATACAACTAATTATCAACAGTAATTAGTAACTAATTAACAGCAATGAAACTGAAAACTAATGAGCACTCGTAACTTTCTGTATGCTGGTCTGTATCAGTTGCTATGATTTTGCGTGTAAACTTGAGTTGACTTATCTACTAGACATTGTGGGTTTGGGAATATATCATTGAATCTGTAGCTCAGTTCTTAGTCTTCTGCTGATGCTATGTTGCTGTCGTTCTTCCTTCAATTGTATAATTGCGTAAGGGATATCTATATAATTGAACAAGTTGAGAATCGTTTCTTTTGTTTCTACTTTATTTTAAAGCATTTATTTTTTATCTTTTTTATTAGGCATTTCAACTTGACATGACGCTACCTCTTTCCGTGATTTATTAGAATCTATCTTGAAAATGTTAATTATCTTGATTATTAACTGTCGTATTCTTTTCTTGTGTTTTGTAGGCTACTTTGGCTGATTCTTTCCTAGCAGATCTTGATGAACTCTCTGATGAAGACAATTTTCTGGTAAGTAATGAATTTTACTTTCCTTTCTGGAAAGCAAAGTCATAATAATGCTATTAGTAGTGTAAATCCATCTACCTTATATTTTGAGGCAATAGTTATTGGCTGTCTACAGGATGAAGAAGATGTCGATGCTGAAAATATGGAAGAGGATATTGATGGGGACCTTGCCGACCTAGAAAGCCTTAATTATGATGATCTGGATAGTGTATCAAAATTGCAGAAAACGCAGAGATACAATGATATAATGCAGGTTAGTTTACATGATAATTTCCTTATTGATTAGGGCATATGCTGTGGCTTGAAGATAAAAGGGTTGGAAGAAACCCAATGCATGCGTTGGATCCCTGCTGTCTTGTCTATTTTTTAATCTTTTATTGAATGATAAGTTATGGCTTATGGGTTATTGTAAAATTGTTGGATGTGTCTTCTTGGCAATTCATTGTTTCTAAATAATATTACATTTGAAGATTGTGAAAATCTATGCAAGTTATGATGACCGTTTCAATTTTACTATCCACAACAATGATGTTACTTGAACCATAACTCCTCTATTTGAAATGTTAAATATTTTAGTGTGCATACATGATATTATTTGTGATGCCTCATTTCCAAGTCACTAACTTTTCTGTTGCCATCTGAATGACAGAAAGTGGAAGGTGCATTGCAGAAGGATTCTAACATCTCCAATCAAGGATTAGTCTTGGAAGATGATCCTGAGTACCAACTGATTGTGGAGTGCAACTCTCTGTCAGTGGATATTGAGAATGAAATTATTATTATTCACAATTTTATACGTGATAAATATCGATTGAAATTTCCAGAGCTTGAATCACTTGTGCACCACCCAATCGATTATGCTCGAGTTGTTAAAAAGATTGGGAACGAAATGGATTTGACTCTTGTTGATCTAGAAGGCCTTTTACCCTCTGCTGTCATTATGGTTGTCTCAGTTACTGCATCCACCACAAGTGGCAAGCCGCTTCCAGAAGAAATTCTCCAGAAAACAATTGATGCATGTGACCGAGCTCTTGCTTTAGATTCAGCAAAGAAAAAGGTCCTTAATTTTGTTGAAAGTAGAATGGGATATATTGCACCAAATCTTTCAGCCATAGTTGGAAGTGCTGTTGCAGCAAAGCTAATGGGAACTGCTGGTGGTCTTGCTGCTTTAGCTAAGATGCCTGCTTGCAATGTTCAGCTTCTTGGTGCAAAGAAAAAAAATCTTGCTGGGTTTTCCACAGCGACCTCACAGTTTCGGGTAGGTTATATTGAGCAAACAGAGATATTCCAATCAACACCTCCTCCTTTGAAGATGCGTGCTTGTCGACTCATAGCTGCAAAATCAACACTTGCAGCACGTGTTGACTCTACCAGGGGGGATCCTACTGGGAAGACTGGAAGAGTTTTCAAAGACGAGATCCTTAAGAAAATTGAGAAGTGGCAAGAACCTCCACCTGCAAAACAACCAAAACCTCTTCCAGTCCCTGATTCAGAACCCAAAAAGAAGAGAGGTGGGCGTCGACTAAGGAAGATGAAGGAAAGGTACTGATATGTTACATGTGTCTTTCATCTCTCTAACTATAGAAGCTTTGATTTGTTGCAGTTTTTGGTGTTCATGGATTGATGTGATTTTCCTTGTCAGATATGCAACAACAGAGATGAGGAAGCTAGCCAACAGAATGCAGTTTGGGGTGCCTGAAGAGAGTTCTTTAGGTAAAGCATTCTTTAAATTTTGAGTAATCTGGATAGATGAAATTTTAGTCCTGCTTCTGCTTCATTTCACATTACATGTCAGTATGGATGCAATGTTGGGTTGTTCAATAAGCATGAGTTGCCAAGTTGTCTGGTGAACCAGTAAATTTTCTGAATTGCAAGTAACACTACCATAACCGTCTTTCCCTCTCTTGAAGAAATATTTCATATCAGAATTGGTTTTATTTTCTTCTGAATACCAGCATATTTAGAAATCTGTTCTGGATGGAAAAAGTAGTTGTTTGAGCATTCTGCAATAATATTCTGCACAAACATTTCACTTTCTTCATTCTTTCTGCACATAAAACAGGAGATGGATTAGGGGAAGGGTAGAAATCTGTTCTGGATGGAAAAAGTAGTTGTTTGAGCATTCTGCAATAATATTCTGCACAAACATTTCACTTTCTTCATTCTTTCTGCACATAAAACAGGAGATGGATTAGGGGAAGGGTATGGAATGCTTGGGCAGGCTGGGAGTGGCAAGCTGCGTGTGTCAGCTGCTCAAAGCAAGCTTGCCGCTAAAGTTGTTAAGAAGTAAGTCATGGCATTGAGCTGGTCCTAATATCTTTCACACACAAAATCCTCCCCACCACAGATATCTGCAGCTCACTATTGGGTTATTTTTTATATTTTCTTTCTAAATTATTTTCAGGTTCAAGGAAAAACGTTATGGTAGCAGTGGTGCTACATCCGGGCTGACATCAAGTTTAGCATTTACACCTGTACAAGTCGGTATTTCTTGCGTTCCTCACCATATCTTCCTATGTTATCTAAGTTAGCCTCAACAAGTAATTGTCTTTTTCATGACACTGGCCAGATGCTTAATTTCTAGGTTGTAAGGATTTCCTGTTTTCCTTGCAGGGGATTGAACTGTCGAATCCTCAGGCTCATTTGAACCAGCTAGGCAGTGGAACTCAGAGCACCTACTTTTCCGAAACAGGAACATTTTCAAAGATCAGGAAAAACTGAGTCATTAGACATTAGACAATCAAATGTCCTTTTTCGTGCTCTTGCTGTAAGCATACATGGATATATACGTTTATGACGACACATTGTAATTCAGTCTTAAGAGAGAGCCACAGGAATTTATGTTTCTATAACACGAAGGTTTTTCTCCTTCCAATAGTTTGATCATGCTCATGTTTTTTGGGACAGCTTTACAAGTGTTGAGTTATTAGCCTTTTGGCAAGCCCGTGATATATTATATTGGCCTGCCATACACTGTACCTGGTGGTAGGACAAGAAAGTTAGTCTCTTAACCAGTGCCATCAAATAATAGTCAGCACATCATGAAAACCGTCTGATTTCCATGAGTTGAATATCGTCAAAACTTGTACATCCCAGTACACACCCATGAGAAAGTTTACGACATTGATTTTGTGCAAAGTTAACGTTACAAGATTAGTGCACTGTACCCATTGAGTAGCCCACGTGCGTCACGTCAAGCATCCAAGATCTTGCCGTCTTAATGTAATATTTCTTTTTCTTTTCATCGAGGACAGGGTGCCTTTATTTCTCTGTAGGTGTCAGATCACATTGATTTTGGTGGTTCAAAGAGGGAGGGAGGTGGGTTCTGTGGCGTCTATGGAAGATGCTTCTTATTAGATTATAAAACCGATCTTCCATTTCCATGCACTTTGTAAAGCCTATAGGAGGAGTCAATTTTTAACTGTAAATGTACCAGGTTCTCCTTGCTTTTCGACGGCTCCAGTGAAGCTCTCTTTTATTTCAGTACGAAAGTTCATATTGGAATCAGTTTTCCGGTCAACTATCGACCACGACCAGCATCTCTGTCTTTGAACCAAAATATGGGATTTTGCCATTCCCACGTGAGATGTTTCTTGCACTATCTTGGGCACATCTTTCTACATAAAGTAATTGCCCCATCCTACATCTCTCTAGTATCTTGCCAAAAAGACAACTTTTAATATTTTGAAAAGTAGAAAAAACCTCTATTTTTCTGCAAAAGTATCTAAATATTGTTCGGAGTAGAAAATAGAAATATTCACGTGGACTAAAACTAAATGGTCGTCTTCTCTTCATTTCTACCTTCTTCCATTTAACTTGTGAAAAATATAATGATGCTCGACGGGTAATTTCTATCTACCGGTCAAGAAGTAGTATTATTCTTTTACTTGTCTGTGGAACAATAATACTAAACAAATATGCCCAACGGATAATTGTTTTTCCAAAAAGAAAGAGAGGAAAAAAAAAAAAAAGCAAAAGAGAAGCACAAAGACAAACGTGTTCCTTCTTCCATCCCATGTAATACACTGGAGGCTCCCCCTAATGATTATGGTATAACAAGGCTACAACACACTCTTTTCTTTCTAACCTAAAATTTATGAGAACACTCAAAAGAATGATGTCAATAAGTAAAAACATATCTATTTGCACTCTGGTGCCACAACCTTGTATCTAGATGTATCTTTACAATAGGAGTAGAACATTAGCTTCCTCCTTGCCCAATCCATTGCCCCCATTTGCTGCTGTGTTAGCTTGATAAATTCTGGCCCCTCCACTGTATCTGGGCTCGAAACATTGGCTTTGGAATCTGATATGCTGCCACTGATCTCCATTTCTGCAAAAGAAGCTACATATGGCGCATACTTGTAGTCAACTGGGTATTTTCCCCCATGAGTTGCCCACTCTGAACCATCCCATATTGTGACAAAAACTGACATTGGTTTTAATGGATAGAAAGCTTCAGAATTGCGCAGCTCTCTAACTGGTACGTTATCCACCAGAAACCTGCTCAAATTTCTGGGCATCTTTAGAAAGAAGAAACAGGGGAATCTGATTTTCTTTTAGTGATTTAATTTCGTGCACTTACACTATATGATAATTGTTCCAAATGATGGTGTAATCATGGTGCTCCACGCTGGGATCAAACCAGAGATAAAATTTCTCTTCTCTTCCTGTCTTGACACTTCCATTGGCATAAATATTTGTTTGAATAACCCAATCTTTTCTCTTGTCATGTCCCAACAGCTCAATGTCAATCTCATCGTGAGAATGGGGATAGGCATCTGCATTCGACAGCTGCATATGGCTTCCATCTCTTATAAACCAAATTGGTCACCCAAACAGAGAGCAATAGAAAAAAGGAAACTTACATAAAATGCCACTACAACCCCTGAAGTGAGCCCTGATGGAAGCTTAATTGAAGCACTGAAAAATCCATAATGGTATTTGTTTCTGGAGACCAGACCAGCACCTCCAAAAACGAACAGAGAAGAACATTATGAATGCAAATGAAGTCAGAAGACTAAAAAGAAGCTAAAGATCAAAAGGGGACTTTTCTTTTACCAGAGACTTTGTCTAGAGTGAGATTGAGGAAGGACCCATTATTCATCAGCTGGATATTTGAGGCCCCAAACATCTTGGCAAAGCACTGATCGATTGAGACATGAGGGACGAGATCCGTCAAACGTGGAACAGTTGGAGGCGTGTAAAAAAATCTTCCACAAGAAGGGACTGCAAATAACATCCACAAGAAGATGATGCCCAAAAGGGGAAACTCCATTATTCCTCTGGAAATTTCCTTCCTTAATGAACAAAGGGCTGTGAAGAATTGGGCTTTTATATTGGGAGTTTCTAAGAGAATATGAACTTTCTTAGTTGTTCAATAGCTGGCTGATGGCTCGCCCCTTTCCTTCCTTCCTAGTATCTCTCTTGGGCTGATTTTAAGAACTTTGGCCAATATGGCTTGTGGGGCTGTCTGAAAGGTGGGGTGATTGAGGAAGACATTTACTAAACTATTTTCTGATTTGCTTTTTTGCCAGAAAGAACAGTTCATGAACCAGAGGCTCACTTTTGAATTCTGATGTTAGTTATGGGCACTGTGATGGGCCACAAGAAGGAAAACCGACCATTTTCCTCGAATAAAAAAAAGGGACATTTGGAATCTCCTGTTGCAAAGCCAAATTTTTTGGCTCATTATTGTCAAATTGGAGGTGATTAGAGCTGATTAGACATCTAAAAGACATAATAACGTGTCTTGCCACTGATTTTGTAGCTGGGATCGTGAGTTGGAGCTTGAAATCGTGATCAAAACAATCATTTTATTAAACAAATTCAAACATTATAATTGAACTTGTTTAAAAAGAAGGATTCTGATTCTCCCCATTGGGCTGATCTAGCTTTCACTTTTTTCATTGAAGGGAAAAGTTGTGATGTGAGTAGAGACAAAACACCTGAGATCTCCAGCTACTGTGCTAGAGATTTGTGTTGGCCAAGCAAAAGTATGAAAAAGAGAAGAAAGATTTGATTGGGGAGTAAAGTTTGGTTTGATAAGGAGCTGCTGAAATTGCCATTTATTTGTCTCTTCATTGGCCAGAAGTGCCATAGCTGGCTTTGAGAGGGAGAGTTTGATTTGATTTGAGTATTGATATTGACATTTACTATTAAGGGACTTGCTGTATTATTATCATTCCCTATGGTCTAACAAACTATACATAAATTGAAATTTTGGTTTCTACTCTGGTCTTAGTTTGGTATGTTATTATAGGTTTTGTTATATATCATTATTAGAGGTTAACAATTTTCTTACCCTGCAATTTTTTTCTTTAACTTGGTGGGAAAAATTGATGAATTTTGACACATGTGTCAATGTTATTTGAGTAGCGTCCTACGGTTTCATCCTAAAGTTAAATAGTTAATAACTAACATACATGAACTCAACTCTATAGATTAAGATATATATCTTCGATAAAGTTTAGAAAACGTATTATGGGTTCAAAAAGAAAATATAGTATATATAGATATTGTAGCTTTGTATATATGTAGCTATATAAAATGTACAAATGCGATTTCTGAATTACATAAATTTGTGAGTCCAAGCGCTTCTTCAAATTTGTGCATCAATTTATGAATTAGTATCAACAAGTAGACGAAGAGAGAAGTAATTGATTAATGTGATAGACGACTTAGAAGTCAATGCTTTAATTCGCCGAAACTTTATAGCTATTTATTTGCCACACCACTATGACATAGGCCTAGTTTTTTATTGGGATATTTTTGTTTTCAAAAAAATATTTGATGTCTTAATTATTTTTTAAGAAAGTGTAATTTTATTTACTTATTTCGATGATATTTGAAAGAGTTATAATTAATTTTAAATTTCTATTCAAAAAGTAGTTTTTTTAGAAAAAAAAATTGACTTGAATTATTATTCGTGTAACAAATTGAAATACAGTAAGAACGCCAAAAAATATTCTCAAAATAATAAAACTAAGCGATAAAAATAATTTATGTGGCAATATATTTATTAATAATTTTATAAAAAATATGTTTAAAAAAATTAATAATAATAATAATTTTATAAAAAATATATATTAGAGTTAATATCCACCGTTTTTTTTTAGAAAATAGAAATATCATTAAGCCACATGGACAAAAGGTGAAATTACATCAATCTCCCCAAGACGTAGCACCCAAGGGGGAATTTCATGAAACCAAGAGCACGAAGACAAAGAGTGCAGGGAGCGCTTAGCGAGCAAATCGGCAAGGCTGTCGCAGCGGCGAGGAACATGCACGAATTGAAGGAACTCAAAAAAATAGATATTAAAGTTAATATCCACACCGATGACTCATATAAAATGAAATTTCTTGAGATTAGTAGGGCGATCCTAATTACATAAAACGATGGAAGGTATGGAATTTACACTTTTGTCATGAAACAAACTTATTTAAAATGGTACCCATCACCTAAATTACAAAACTATCCTTTTGTATATACAAATTAATATTGATTGATTTTTAAATTCTAGAATTCATTAATTGGAAGATTATATTGCTTAATGATACTTTCTAAAAGAAGCTAAAATACCAAAGCATCCAAAAATATCTCCAAATCCCTCAAATTCGAAAACTTTCAAAAATATCCTTAAATTCCCCAAATTCGAAAATAGTGATGGTTCGTGTCTTCTTCTCTATTCGTCGGGATTATTCTAATTCCGACTGCTTGCGCCTTCCGTTCCCGTCGCCGAGCAGTCCGTTTCCTTTCTACTGTCGTTCCGTTTCTGTTCGCTCATTCGTCTCCGGTCCCCACCTCATTTTTTCTCCGTCGTCGGAGCAGTTCGTCTCCATTTATCCCGATCAAAAAGTTTGCATTCCAATATATCATAATATATCATAATGTTGAAAATCTTGTTTTTTTTGTTTGTACTGTACCCTTTTCTTGTATTTTTTTTTTGTATATATTCCAATATATCCTAATGTTCATTCCATACCCTAGTAGTATCCAATAGTTGTATATATAGGGTTATATGGGAATATCTTATAGTGAGTTTGATCTTAGCATGCACCATAACAAATTTGTGCATTTCCCTTTTTGTGTGTACGGATATATGGGGATATATCTTATAATGGTTGCCTTGCACTCTTTACCTTTTTGTGTATAGGGATATATTCGGATATATGGGGAAAAAGTGCTCAAACGGACAGAAACCTGTGGAATCAAATCTGAAATACATCTTGTGGCTTCCAAAAACCGATGGGAATTTACACATGAAGAGAGATTAAATTGGATATTTTTTCCATTAATAATAATGGTAAATCATGGGAATAAATCTTTTTTGGAGGGGTGAATAATTAGTGTTGAAATTTTGTATGGGACCCACAATGATAGATTACAATTTAGGGATTCAAATCTTTTAAATTTTCAAAAAAAAAAAAATAACTATAATAAAAGTAAATATAATAAATAAAGGTAAAATCGGTATTATAAAAAAATCCTACGTGTATAAATCTAAAAGTGTAAAATTGGAAAACTTTAGATATTTGTGAAATTAAGTTTAAAAGACTGTAAACATTATTTCTTTTGACTTTTTTTAGTATATTGAAACATAAAAAGTGGTATGGCCTGGCCCAACATAGACTAAAAGAATGGAACTCAATATATGTAATTCAAAATATTTTAATGAAGTTAAAAGAAAATAAGAAAATAAAAAGAACAAGTATCAAATGTGAAAAATAGAAAAAGAATAGAGAGGAAAATAAAACTGCATCATTGTGCTTAGTTGGGAATTTGTATGGAAAATTGAGAGGATAAAACTATATTCATGTTAATAGAAGTACGAATCCAATCCTGGGACGACTTCTTTCTCAGAAAGTGCAGCAAGTACTTGAGTTATTTTTGAGTATCATGTCCCATGAATGAGTTGTCAAGTGCCCCTAACCTAGAAGGGCAGTCTATCACAAGATCGAGGGGAAGTCCAGAGCCAAACCCTCTGGTTGGGGAGCTCCTGTTTGTTTGATTTATTCCAGAAAAAGCGGTAACTTTGTGCATTGATTATCGGGCGCTAATCTAACCATCAAGAACAAGTGTCCACATTGATTGCGGAACTTCCTAAAATCTCTCTAATTCCTAAAATCGAGAATACATATTTTAATAACTAATTTTATTGGTAGCAATATTAGAAAAATATTAATATAATATCAGATAATAATTATTATATCGTGGGACACCTTCCTTGGCCTGTCATGGATCCTTCCCTACTGTCCACAATCTATTTCAAGGTAATTTCTTATATTATCAAAATAATAAAACTAATATAATGAAAGATTATTTATGTTACAATATAACTTTTAATAAAAAAAATTTAAAATTGATATTAGAGTTAATATCCACACACACAAGAATTTATGTTGAGGACTCATATAAAATCAAAATTTGTTCAATTAAATAATTTTTTTAGTATATTGAAACGTAGAAAGGTGGTTTAGTTCAACATGGTTTAAACCGAAGAGCTTAATATATATAGTTCATAATATTTTAATGATATTAAAAATAAGATTAAAAAACAAATATCAATTTAAAAAAATTAAATGTAAATTTGAAATAAAATGATATTTACAAAACAAAAATAGATTATGTGCAGATTATGAAAACAAATTAAAGAAACACAGATTATCCTAATTATTTAAATGAAACAGTGTTATATATTATACATTTAATGTAAAAATGATTTTTAAAAAATGGTACCATACAAATAACATATAATAGAAACTTTATTTTATTTTTATTTTCTTTTTGCATGAGGATGGGCGGCCCAACTTTAAACAAAATGGGCCTGGCTAAGGGTCATATATTTTCCTCTCTGTATATATTTTTTTAATAATTCGAACTCCCTTCTTCTCTCTTCCTATCTGTATATATTTTTTTAAAATCATATTTTTTTTCCTTTAAAGATTTTTGAGGGTTGAAATTAAAAAATATATATATATATATATATATATATATATCGAAGGAGAATTTAAATAGGTGAAAAAATATATGATTTGAGGATTCAAATCCTCCCAAATCCTAAATTCTCTCCCAAATCTCAAAGATCTTGTAAATCTCTCAAATTTACCAGCATAATAAAAAGAAAACAGTTTATATGTGACAAATGGACAGAAAAATAACTAATTTGGAATTTACAATATTTCAATATTAATTTTACTTTTAGGAATATTAGAAAGAAAAAAAAAAGTCCACTTTAAAAAATTTCACATAAATCATAAAATAAAATAATTTTGGTCAAATTTGAAGCAATTATTGGCTTAATAATTTTCACTTAAAAAAATCCAGGTTAAATGTCGGCGAACCTCATGTGTCAAAGTCTACTATAATAATTTGGGACACGTGTCTTCACGAGAATGACAGTAGTACATGTAGATTTCTACGAAGTTGCCCTACCATAAATCCAGGACGTACACCTGTCCTACCTTAATTCAAAAATAGCATAGATCAATCTTCCACCTACACGTGTCCACAATCTATTCTAAGATAATTTCTTAATCAGTTATTATATAATGGTATCATTAGCGGCGGAACTTGAGACAAAAACAAATCACCAGAATCCAAACAGCAACTTTTTCTTCTTCTTTCCCTCTTTCTGTTAAATGATTCAAAAATCAAATGAATCCGATCGCCGGATACTTACGTTCCCGGCGATTCAACCCTGCCAATGCATAGCTCCGGCGAAGCTGTTGACGTCACTGATCAATGTCACTCGAAACATTTGTGGTTACAGATCCAAATTCTTCGGCGGCAGCAAGCGAAACGCGAACGCAGCGATTCGCCAAATCGGAATCATCCTCACGTTCCTCGAACAAATCCGAGATGGAGACTCAGATCTTCCCGATTCCATCGTTTTATGCTTCTCCGAACTCCATTTTATCTTCCAGAAGATTCAGTTTCTCTTGGAGGACTGTGCCCTAGAAGGTGCTCGTCTGTTCATGCTCATGAAATCGGAACTCGTGGCCAATCGGTTCCGGGTCTTGGCCCGATCCGTCGCCGTAGCGCTGGATGTTTTGCCCCTGTTTTCGATCGATGTACCGATCGAGGTTAAGGAGCATTTAGAGCTGGTGATGAAACAAGCACGAACAGCGAAGTTCGAAGTCGATCGCGGAGATGAAGAGATTATAAACGAGGTAAAATTAATTTTGAGTCTATTCGAGTATGGTGCTGCTCCCGATAAGAGTAAAATCAAACGCGTTCTTGATCATATTGGGATTGAGAATTGGAGTTCGTGCAACAAGGAGGTGAAATTCTTGGATTCAGAAATCGAGTTCGAATGGCTGAGTCGGGACAAGACAGATGTTGCCTTTCTCAGCGATCTAATGGCTTTCATGAACTACTGTAGGAGCATCTTGTTCGATGTTGTCGATTGCGATGCAATTCGACATGTCGACCGATTCAGAACCGACATTCTCCATTGTTTAAACCCAGATGATTTTCGATGCTCAATCTCGTTAGATTTCATGATCGATCCTGTGACAGTGGCGACAGGGCATACCTACGATCGCTCTTCGATTCAAAAATGGTTGAGGGCTGGAAATTTCATCTGCCCCAATACAGGGGAGAAGCTGAAAAACAGGGAACTAATCCCCAATTTGGCTCTCCGTCGTATAATTCACCAATACTGTACGGAAAATTCGATCCCTTTTGCAGAACCAGGCAGGAAAAAACGCGACATTACTAGGACGGTTGCTGCGGGTAGTTCTACGGCGGAGAAGATTTTCCGAGAGCTAGCGAAATTTTTAGCTGACGTGCTCGAATTGGGAACGTCAGAAGAGAAGAACAGGGCCGCTTATGAGATCAAGCATTTATCCAAAGCAAGCATTTTTAATCGTTCTTGCTTGGTGGAAACTGGTTTGATTCCAAATTTACTGAAATTGTTGAGATCATTAGATGTATTGACGCAGGAGAACGCCATTGCTGCTGTATTGAACCTCTCGAAGCATTCGCAAAGCAAAAGTGCAATAGCGAGCAACGGGGGTTTGCAGGAAATTGTTCATGTTCTACAGATGGGCTACAGAATAGAAGCTCGCCAACTCGCTGCCGGGGCTCTGTTTTACATGGCTTCAATCGCAGAGTACAGACGGCTAATAGGGGAAATCCCAGAAGCAATTCCGGCTTTGACGGACTTGTTCATGGACACAACAGATCGTAGCAAAAAGAACGCCATGGTTGCGCTATTCGGGCTTCTCGTACATCCGGAGAACCACCGGAAAGTGCTCTCCGCCGGAGCAGTTCCTCTGTTGGTCAATCTGCTAATGACATCCGGTAAGGAAAACCTCATGACAGATTCAATGGCGATTTTGGCCTCTCTGGCGGAAAGGCCCGATGGAGCTGCTGCAATTTTGCAGTGTGGGGCTTTGAATTCAATCATGGGGTTTGTGGATTCGTGTAGTTCTATAGCAGGGAAAGAGTACTCTGTTTTTTTACTGGTAGCTCTGTGCGTTAATGGCGGATTGGAGGTAATTCCAATCATGGCGAAGAATCAAACTCTGATGTCATCGCTGTACAATGTTGTGAGTGAAGGCACATCTCGCGGAAGATGGAAGGCAAAATCTCTGATCAGACTCCTCCATGCGTATTGTGAAAACGAGTCCTCAAGCTCCAGCCCAGTTGTTCATCGACTTCCACAAGATCGAATGGTTCACGTCTGGTAAATTTTTGAAACGTTTTCTGTTTGATTTCTTTGAGGAATTCTTTTAGGGTAAATACTTAGGATGTGAATAAGTTTCATTTTGTTTAGATTGATTGGATTTGTTTGGTATTAGCTCGTGTTTTTAAGAGCTGATAACAAATAACTATGCATCAAATCAGCTTCATTTTCTTCTTTGAAAACTCTGTACAGACATTAATAATTATTCGTTGTTATTCTTTTTCCAATTTATTGCCAATAAAGGTATTTGAATTCTTTGCTAATCTCAAATTGCATTACTTCCACATTTACTTCGAATTTTTAAAATTTGTGCGTTTGCTTCCCGATCTGAAAAGTTTGATAATAGATTCAAAAATTGATTCTGAATTGAAGAATTGGTTGAAATTTTATTTGAAGGTTCTCATAATAATATAAATAAAATAGATATATAATAGTCGTCTCAGTTGGATATGAAAACTTATTAATAAATATATGATTAAAAATTTATTTAATTGAATAATTAAAAATAGTATACAACTTATAATATAATATTGTTCTTATTTTTAAACAAAAATAAAATGAGTTTATAACATAATATTACATTAATAGAAACTTTATCATAACTACAGTAAATATAGTCACAAGATAATCTCGTTACATATTAGATTGATATAAGTTTGTGATATATGAAATAATGAAAAAAAATACATATTAAACTTTATCTTGTCATGTATTACACCTCACATATGTTAAAGGTTCAAATTAATATTACATATAAAGAAAATTTCAAAAGAAGTGTCAAAAAAAAAAAATTCAAGAATAGGAGGAAATATTGGAACGTCAACCTATTTGTTTTAAAAGAAAGATCAATTATCTCAAATCATTTATTCAAAAAAAAAAAACAATTCTCTCAACCTCAACCCATTTGTTTTAGAAAAGAATTATCTAAGTCGTGTTTCCGAAAATTCCTATCCAAACAGATTTTTTTTTTTAGTGAAATGCTGCCACGTTGATTTACAACTTAGGTTAGAAGGAAGTGATTACAATCCAAACCTTATATTTGGAACCAAAATTTCATCAAACAAATCAAATCTGTAGCCTTGAATTACAAATTTGATGATGGGCCTATGTTTGGGCCAATCTGGTTTTTAAAGTCTTTTTTATTAATAATTAATATTTCTGTTCATTTGAGCATATTTTGTTCACTCTTTTTTTTTAATATAAATATTTCGTTAAAATATTAACTAACTACTCGTATCAACCTCAATCTCTTGTATTTAAACGAGATTTTTTTTCTAATAGGTATCGTTTTTGTCTGGCTATTAACGTTGGCTTTTGCTATTAAATTTTGGAAGGAAAAAAAAAAGGAAAAAGTGCACAAATTAAATTAAATTGCTAAATATAGAATCATGAACTAACTAATTGATAAATATTTTGTTTTTGAATTTGATTAAGAGTGGGAAAAGAAGAGTGACATATAAGTTAGCCAGCCACGTGATCAGTTTCTTAAATATCTATTTGCTTATTTTGAATTGAGATTATTAATAGCATCTCCGAATTACTTTTAAGAAAATTGTTGGGAACAAAAAGTTAAAATAGATTGTTGAATGAAAAAAATTAAAAAAAAAAATCAAGATATTACATCCTTTAAACACGTTTTAAATTTTAGTATTTAGGCCAAAGCGAGCCTCCAATCATGAGGTGAATTCGATCCCGGTCTCCACAGTTGTATTAAAAAAAAAATTAGTATTTAGGTTCATATGAGTGATATTCGCCCTTCCATTTGCATTTTAAAATTGATAGAAATGTCCATCCACAAATATCAATATTTACTTTTAATTATGAAATATGTACTGCTATTGATGTTACGTTTTGCCATTAATTTTTTTTATAAAAAGAAAAGGAAAAAAATGGACAAATTAAATTGCTAAATATGGGCCCAACTAATTGATGTATATCCTGTTTGAATTTCGATCGAGAGCGAGAATTAAGTTAGCAAGTGGAAGAGCTCCACCATACGTGGGGAAGAAGATTCCAACATCCAATTATTCCTAAAAAAAAATCCAATTAATACTAAAAAAAAAATCCAATTGAATTAATTTTTTTTTTATCGTAATGTTTACTGGAAATGAAAAGAAAATAAAATTTTACTGAAGGTATCTAATAACCTTGCTTATGCTCGCCAGCCGCACGAGATCCTTGTAGCTTTGCCTGCCCCGAAAGAAATGGAGGACTTCATTCATGAAACCTCTTTGCTTGCAGGGCAGGAGTGGAAACGTCTGAGAGAGCGCTTGGCGA